TCACACAAAAACACACACAGACCATGGAAACAAAATATTTCTTAAGAAATAGTATATATATACCTATGGGCCTTTATACAGAAATTTGTGTGAATGTTATTGTTTATATATAGGACAAATAACAATAAACTCAAGATTACTTTGAGTAAGTTAAAATATTATCAGTTAAAAAATTTCTTACATACAAGTAAAAATATAAATTGGGACTCGCAACAAAGAAAACGTTTTATCAATATCAAATAAGTACTATACAATATGTACCTATGTGTGCTTTTCTTTCATCATGTATGTAATACTGATATAGAAAGATACACAAGTAGTATTTCAGTGTTTTGAAATAACATATATACTAGCAACTTTTTTTTCTTATTTTTAATGTTTTTATTGTGTATTTTTGTTACCATTCCTAATGAAACCAATTTTCTTTTGATTAGTGTAATGTAAATATGTGTACTTTAATTTCATTTATATAACTATTGTTTATACTTACATAACATGTAAGCTAATTAATTAATTAATTAATTAATTTGCTGTTACTTTTGTATTTTATTTCATTATCATAAAAATTGGTATATTTGTACAAATACTTAATAATTCTATGTGAAAATGGCCTTCTGAAAAACACAAATTTGTGATTCATTTTTTCCCTGTTTAAAAATTAGTTTCTTATTATTATTCTACCAAATATCAGCAAGACAAAAAGGCTATGAAGTTTCGTCAAAGGCAGGCATCTTCAAATTTAAAATAGCAAAAGAATCCAATTTGTAAACAGAAACCTAACCAATAACAATGCAAATATTGTTTTTAAAGAAAAGAACCTTACAAGATCAAAACCTTAAGCTACATGACTAAGTAACAATTGCAGTGTACGTGCAAATATATACGACATACAAACAAAGCTAATTTTTTCACAAAAAAAAAACATGTCAACATTTATATTGCTTAAATTACACTGTAATAAATTCAGAAACCCTTCAACCTATAAGACTATGGAAGTTTAATAAACTGATGACTATCTCTTTTTGGTTACAAACATCTTTTACTGTACATGGCAACCAAAAAGCCTAGGGCTGTTTAATTCAAACTTTTTCCTCAAATCCTGCCAGATCTTTTGCATCAGTACTAACAAATGTTGACATTTAATCTCAATTTAGGGTTAGGGTTCAGTAATTTTGCAATTTATTTCCTAGAATTTACGTTTGGGGTATTCATTTTTTATTCTTAAAGAGAAGGATAATTTTAATAAAAAATGAAATAAATTTGAATAAAAATTTCATCTTTAATAAATTACCAAATAATAACTCAAATTTAAACTAACATTTTAACATACCCCGTTTCTTTTTTCAGCAAACAAATTCAGCTTATATTGTTTCCCATTTATTTTCATTTAACTTTTCCAAATGCTGATTAAAGAAGTATCTATTTTAATTATTGCAAAATTAAGATGTTAAAAACTTAAATTTAAATACATATATCAAAAGTGAAAACAAATTTATTTTTTTTACTAAAAAAAACTAAACAGAGTAAAAATACACTTTAGAATTAAACAATTAAAAGCAGTTTAGAAAACAGTTTTAACAAAATTAATGAAAATCTTAGCTTACGAAGAATGCAGAGAGCAGCCGTCGTTTGCAGCCAAGTTATGATGTGTATACAGTAACTCCCTCAGGAGAGGTCAGCAGAAACTCAGTGTCTAGGCTTGAACTAAACCCAGCATTTGTATCTGTACATCATGACAGACTGGCAACTATGCCCTGTATACAGTGTCAATGTTGGTAGCATCCACAGAATGATAAGTAGGCTAGCAACTGTGATGCAACTCCATATAAGGAGCTACCATATGCAACTAGTCTACTAAACCAGACTCTCGGTGGTAGTTAATCTCAAAGTCTGGATTCATAACTAAGAAACTTTTACCAAAAATATAGTAATGTACATGGATGGCTTTGCTCAAAAATAAATTACTTAATTATTAATACTTTGGTAATTTGCAAGTAAACAATTGGAATGAATAAAAAACAATTAACATGTATAATACTGCTGAATATTTTGTATTGTTAAGAAAATAAAACAATAAGGGAGATTATTTTTATGTGTACATATTGAATGATAAAATCAATTGAACTTTGCCACCTTAGAAAACATGTGCTCAAAATGCTCAGAGATATACTGTCCGTGTAGAGTTACAATTATTTTAATTGCGTATTTGTATATTTAAGTATTAAAGCTAATATATCTCAATTAGAATGAGAAAATACACATAATTTATATAGCCCCAGGTTCTTGGCACGTGGGCCAAATTTGGCCTGTGAAGCAAATTATTCTGGCCCGTTAGAGAAAATATAATTATAAAAAAATATATTTAAAGAAACTAAAAGTTAAAAAACCATTCAATGAATATTTTTTTTTTAAGAAAGTGAAGGCCAAAACACAACACTGGGCCAATGTGAAGTAGGGGTGATCCCACCCAGAAGTTAAATCTGTTACCAACAAAATCGACAAACGCCAAAAATTCTTTGCCAAAAACGAACTTTGCATGACTGATAAAAAAATAATAAATGCGTTTTTGTTATAATTATGCCTGCAACTTCATTTTTGCCTTGGAAAATACTAATACAGGATTAGTTCTACGAGGGAGTTGGATGCCTGAGCAGGTAACTATAATAAGCAAGGGGGCGTAAACTTGGAGGTCCTCCGTGAGAAGCTACATAAGAATCAAGGTTAATATATAGAAAAAAAATATCTAATTTTACTTTGTGGATAAAACCCCAATTCAGGAAACTTGCACAAAGAAAAGAAGACATGACAAACAAGTTCTATTACCAGTCACCGACAACCAGTCACTGACAACATTAAATGTCCGGTGACCCTGCAAAATATCTTGGTGACTCTGACTTGGCTCGCGACCGACAGTTTGAATACCAGGGCCTAACAACATGTTATAATTATGCCTGCAACTTCATTTTTGCCTTGGAAAATACTCCTACAGGATTAGTCCTACGAGGGAGTTGGATGCCTGAGCAGGTGACTATAATAAGCATGGGCGTAAACTTGGAAATCATCCGTGAGAAGCTACATAAGAATCAAGGTTAATATGATACAAAAAAAATATCTAATTTTACTTTGTGGATAAAACCCCAATTCAGGAAGCATGCACAGATGGCGCATGGGTAAAATCTGCTTTTTAATTCTAAGCAATTTTTAAGCTAAATCTGACTTGAGCAAAAAAATGGACTTAGACGAATGTAAGCTGATTTCTAGTTTGATAAATCCTGCCCCAGGGCCTAACAATATCGAAATGAATGGGTTTCAGAAATCCATTAAATTCGGCCTCAAAATGCTACTGAACACATTCAATTTAAGGCTCGCAACTGCTTAGGCATAGCTACTAACCACCACTGGTACTAGGCCTCTGTCTGCCTGTATTACGTGTATTGCGAGCATGTAGCTTAACATTTTTAGAATAAAAATATGATGTTAATCTTTTACATAATACTGTAACTTTTAAAATGTGATTGAATGAATGAAAAAGAATACACAAAGAAGCAACACTGTTTCCAAGAAATCTTTATATTAAAGGATATCAGTTCTGTAGGCCTTGCTATTTAATTTTTGTGATTATCATTTTATCGCGAAAATCGCAAAAAATTAGGGGCGAGCGAAAAAGGGGCTGTACAAAAAAAAATGCATATATAGCCCTGGTTCCTAATAGGCAGCTGACGGGGCAAATTTTGCCCGCGGCGAAAACACAACACTGGGCCAATGTGAAGTAGGGGTGATCCCACCCAAAGTTTTTGTTACACCTGTAACTTCATTTTTGCCTTGAAAATATACTCCTACAGGATTAGTCCTACCAGGGCCTTTCAGAAATCCACTAAATTCAGCCTCAAAATGCTTTTCTATCGGTGCTTCTCGGCCTCTGGACCCAGCCGGGGCCCTAAACAGCCTCAGCCTAAGACTCGCAAGTGCAATTTTGTTGTGATTTTACACAAGCAAAAAATAAAATATCATCAATAAGCAACAAACAGTGAACAAATGAAGTGTCTTTAATTCTTCTTTTATAAAAATATTATATCAATCTTTTAGTGCAGAAATTGTAATGAATTTATTGTCCTAATATTGTGCTGTATTACAATTTAAAATAGAACAGGGGGCTTGAGCCACAACACAATGATATTACGTTAGGTCCACAAATACAACAAGTTGCTTGAAATAATTTGGCCCTTTAAATAAATTAAGAACCAGGGTTATACAGTACATAATAATTTTCGAAAAAGAAGTAAATCTTCCCAAGCCATGGGGCTCATAGGGCTGGAAGAATCCCCAGTTTCTATAAGTGTGTGGACCTGGGTGGAATGCTAGTCCACCGCAGGTTACTCCCAGGGTTTGCTGGTATCCATTGATAAAGCTGGGTCGGCTGAAGCAATGTAGATTAAGTACCTTGTTCAAGGACAAGCGAAATGCACAACAAAGTATTGAAACTTGACCTCGAGGTCAGGAAACCAAACTATTTCCACGGCGCCAAACCGTATATACTGTTATATTCTAAGTAATAGACGTAAATTGACTGGACTCGATTTAAGGAAATTTTTGTAATATACCTGAATTTTTTTACCTGTAAAAAATTGGAGGTTAGTGACTAACGGACAAAATTCAAAATAACAATTCAATATTTCAATTAAAGTTTGTGGAGGGGTTTTTCACTTGCCTGGAATTTCTTGAAAACTATTTATTTTCATTATTTCAATTGTTATCTTTGATATGATTATTATTACTATTATCAATACTATTATTGTAATTAAGTAATAATTGTGTTGCTATTTATTCCCCTCCTACAACTAAAATCTGTTTTCACAAGCATTATCATAATGATACAAATTATGATACTAATCGCAATGGTGACATGTGATTGTCTTTCATTTTTCAGTAATCTTTAAAACTAATCGTAAACCTGACCCTTAACTTAAATATGAATTTCATTAAGAAATACTTCCTCTTACTTTTTGTAGCTCAGTGATGTCCAGTTCCAGAGAGATCTCCACTGGATTCCCATTTTGGTCCGTACTGTTGCTAATAGAGAGTATAGAGGTTGTACTTTCCTTTCTCACACAAGACTCACATTCTGACATGAGGGAGTTGTCTTTGATGGGTTGCAGGTATGAGGGTCGTTCCCTGGTTACCGACAATGTTGGTTCAATTGTCACCATTTGAGCTGGTGTTTTTGGAAGATTCTCACTGTTAAGATTAATTGTCAGTTGTGATTTTCTCTTACTGATAAATGATTCAGTATCCGTTATATTTTGTTTGGTATCTTTCTTGATTGATGACTGGATTGGTTGGTACCGCTCCAGTACATTCCCTTTTTTGGGGGTATCTGACAAAACTAAACCAGTTGTTGATGTTGGCGAGGATTCATTTTTGTTCTTGAAGACTAATGTGGAAGGACTGTTTGCTTGGTTTTTGGATTGGATGAAACTAGGAACTTTATTCTCTCTCTTGATTGGTAACATAGCTGGAGAATAACTTTTCTTTGGAGTTGAGGCTTCTGAGCTGAACTTAGCAGCTACACCACTTACTTTGCCTGCCATTCCTAAAGAAACAAAACAAGTACATTAACATCAAGAAAACATGTTTAAAAAGCATTCTTGAATAAGAATTGACCAACATATCTATTGAAACTTTTTTTTGGATAAAATAGAGGGTGCTAAACAACTAAAAACAATAGTACATCCTTTTGATACATTGGCCAATAATGTTTCTTCACACCTTCAGACTTAGAGGGCGCCAAACTAAGTAACAAACACACACAAATACCTACCTTTTATGATTTTTTCATCTCTTTTTGAAGTTACTTTGTGTGGAGTTGTCTCCAGAGCACCAAATTGAAACTTGTTCCGCATACTTATGACCTTATTACTAGGAGAGGAAATGCTTCCTGAGCGTGATGAATGTGGTGATGCTGATGTCGGCGTGGAAGCCAGAGATCCTGCTATTGATGAAGTTCTAGAGCTGCTGGGTGATTCAGATAGAGTCTTTGTGTCATTGAGAAATAAACTTTTCTTAGACAGCATTTTTTTCTTTGGCTCTGTGACTGCTTTAACTTCACTGGCTTTGCAAGAATCCTCTTGATCACTATTGTTTCTGGAGGTTCTATTTTTATGTGGTACATTAATTCCAGAGTCACATCTCAACTCTGATTTTGGTAAACTTTTTGTTGAATCTTCTTTTCCAACTGGTAAATCTATAGCACCCTTTGTAATGTCAGAGGATGTAGTTACAAAGCTTCCACTGGCAATATCCGATGTGATTCCTTGTTCTTTTGCTGTGGAACATTGATCATCAACATAAACTGGCAAAGACTCTAAGTTATCAGCAATGCGTTCAAAATCAAGAGAGACAAGTGATAAGTCAATGGGACCATCTTGAAATGTCTTGTCCTTTGATGTGTTCACAGGTATCTGGACACTAGTCGTAGCTGATGATTCCACCTCACAATCATCATTGTCAACTGGTTGCTCAACAACATTTCTGACAATATCATCATCTTTTGATAAGTGTGCGTGCATGTTTTTACATGGTTCTATGAAGACTTGGTCAACATCATGTTTTTTAATGCTATCTGGATCTGTTAATATTCTGTCTTTATATGCCACTGACAACTGACTTGGTTCAATATCAAACATATCACTGTCTTGCTCTTTTGGGTCTTTGATTGGTAATTGTGTCACCTCTTCAGTTGGTACTGTTAACTTCTCCTCATCTCCATTATCATTTTCTTCCTCTTCATCATCTCCCTCCACATCTTCTTCCTTTTCATCTTCTTCAGTGCCATCTTCAACAGAGTAATCTCTATGATTTTCATCTTCTGTATAAAAAAGAAGTCAGCAAAATAAGAAATATATTCAAAAAATTACCTTTTCTGTTTCATTTCATATTTGATAGGATTTATTAGACACATAACCATTTCAGACAAATCTGCTCAAAGCACATTTTCTACTGTGGTGAAGAAAGGAAAACACAGATAAAGTGTCCTTGCCCAAAACAGAAACTACATGATCAGCATCTGTCTGAAACTTCTTTCAAAACCAAAAACCTCACTGCTGTGCCACAAAGCCTCCATTGCAGACTCTACCTGACCAGTGGTTTGCATCAGACTTTCCTCAACATGTCTCCCCAATGGCTGGGCTTGGTGTTTCCCCTGAATGCTAACTATGAATTATGTGGTATGCAATTTCATTACACTGTTAACATGTCACAGATAATCAGCAATGTAGTTAAACATTTTTATGATTGAACATTTTTTAAATGTGCCTAAGAAACTGCCAATACCAGAGGTGAAAATGTTGAGTTGAGTTCTTGAGATTATTGTATTGTAAACATCATTTCTGTGTGAGAATTACTAACCTGTTATCAGAGACTGTGTTAATGATGGTAGCCCTTTTTGTAGCAAGGTTGTCATGCCTTCTACGGCCTTCTCAAAAGCAGCAAATTGCTTTGGGTACACAGCTGTCTGCTTCTCTTCCTCATCTTTGTCATCATCACCTATACAAAATCAAACATATTTTAAACCTCAACTTTACTTTCTTTACTTTTTTAAGTTTCAAGTTTAAAACTTAGGCATTAATGTAATGTGCCACCTCAAATATCACATACCAATAATTGGTGTCAGGTTCTACCTGCTACTATTAACCATTAAACCAGTACTAAATGTTCATGGTCGGATGGTAGGCGACTAAACCGGCTCAGCAATCTGAGGCAACTCTGGTGAGGAGGGTGTGTGGACCCCCAACAGCTGATTAAAAATAAGACCTGTTAAAGCACGGATAAGTTCATGGAGGAACCAACTGGCATCCTCCCTTTTCCCTAGGGTGATGGGTTGGTGGTATGCCAAGACAGCCTCACTGCAAAAACAAACGTTCCAATAGTGAAATGATGACACAAAAAAAAAAAACGAGGGCAGCAACCAGACCAACGTTGCTGTGGGCCACACCTGCCTATGACAAAAGGAAGCTGCAAGTCCAAGACCTGTTGTTCCTTATGACGGTCCAGTGTCATCATGGCGTAGAAGTCAGTAACCCTTTGCAAGAGGAAAAATTTTGACTTACATAAGTGATCAGAATAACTTGATTAGCTGCTTCGTAGATTTATGCCTACATTAGATTTTAAAATTTTGGGGTATCCATGCTGTCCTTAGAATTTGAACAATCCTAACCTGGGATGCACATTTCGGGTATACCAGCTCTCTCCGTCCGATATGAACAATTGTACTTTGGATGCATAATTTGGGGTTGGGCTTTGGCCTTAGGAATTGAATAAGGCTACCCCAGTAATTTCTTCTATTTGTTAAACCAATTTTTACATTGTACTATGTAGATTTTCAATTTGTCTTACCAAATGCCTTATCTTGAGGTACTTCAAACTCAATCTGAATTGTCTGACAACCTTCAATTTTCCCTTCATCGAGTTCACCCTCTGACTCCAGGATTTGTTCTCCATCTGCAGTTACCTCATCTTGCGGAGTTACCATGGCAACTTCTTCATCTCTCTTAGACTCAATGTACTCTTGCTCTTCTTAAAAATTAGAAATAAAATGATAATGTACAAAATATACTATACTGTATATATAAAACTTGCTCTTATATAACATGCACCACCAATCTTATCTTGAGTAACACAACATAATAATAACATTTCACTAGTTTACAGCTAGCTTAATCAGGTGAGCTACAGATAGGACTAAGTTTTCAGTCAATCTAGTTTTTGTTCAATTTGTTGTGCCTAGAAGGCTTAATTACAGTGGTTTATGGCTAACGTTAACCATATTTTGACTGGTAAAATTTTAGATAAAATCCATTTTAAGGAGTCACAACAATCAATTAATGCTTGGAAGTACCACTGTTAAAAATACAATTGATTCAGGCTTCTTATGAAATAAAAACCTTTTGCAAAAAAAAAAAGAAAAAAAAAAGAAAAAAGAAAGAAATGCAATTCTGTAAATAATTTACATTTACTTCCTGTTATACAAACATCACCCGTGTATCTGTTTCTTTTTGGGAAATAAAATTATGTTAACATTTAAATCAAGATATCATTGTAAAAAGCCTTGTGTCATTTCTTGTCTACATGAAAGTCTATGAAATGTACATGTATGAGCAATAAGAGTCACAAAGTAGCCAAATTATGCAACAAAGAATCAAGACTTGCACATCATCCCAACTTATGCCAAACATATACCTGCATGTGCTTACCTCTTAGGCGGCGTCGCAGATGCCTTATGGCAATACGTATACGTCGTCGTTCATCCAAATCCCCACAATCATCAAGCTTTTGAATAAAAAAGTCACTTGAAAAGTTTTGTTTAAAGCAATATAAAAAATAATGAACTGTTTATTAACTGATGCGGTTGAAATCCCACGCAAGGTATTTTTCTATTTGCAAAATAATTTGTTTATGGGCATACAGTATGTATATGAGAGTATAATACATACTCCAAGTATCGAAATGCACGCCATCGTGTATTTGGAGTATGTGTTATACTATCTTATCTGAGATTAATCACTGGACTTTTCGGTTTCAGTATATATATAATGTTATGATTTTATACCTTTTTCATCTCACATATAACAAATTCACCCAACCTTACAGAAAGGATATAAAACTTAGTGTCATATGTAAAGCGACACAGGACGACAGCAGTATTATTTAATTGATGCTCGTTCTAAGCATGTTGCTGGCAAGCTTTATTTTAATATTTAGTAAAATATAAATAATAATGAAGCTGAAGTAGGGAAGATTTTTTTGGCATATGCAGAATGAAAGAAACAAGAGAGACCACTTACCAATCTCTGCAGTTGATTGATGTCTGTGATGTCGTCAATGTTCTCAATAATATCAGGTTCTTTCGAAGTTTGCATGTCATCCTGGTTACTGGCATCATGACTGTTGACTGCCTCGTCATCCTCAAATTGTCCAGAATCTGGGACCTCAAATGCAATTTGAATCGTTGTCAGTTCCTAAATATTGAGAAGAGATTTAAAATAAAAGTGAAACATTGGTAAATGTTAACAAAAATTAAACTCTATAAATTCTATATATTAATTACTAAAAAAAAAATAGTATCTTTTGATTAATGATTTATTAGAATACATTTACTAAATTATTTTATTTTTACCCAATAGCTAGTGACTTATCACATAAATGAACAATCTATGTAATGCTTTCTGTAAAAACTATGCTATAAAGGGGAAGCTTAAGTTAGAGTGGGTTTTTAGGTTATTTTTTATTTTGAGAAAAACAAGATTTTAACTCAGCTCTGTAAGATTAAGAACTCTTTTGAACAATCAAGCAACCCACATTTTAAGGGCATACCAATTATAATCATAATTAAATGTAACAGAATGTTTATCACTGCAAATAGTAAACAAAATAATTAACTATCGCTCTACAAACTAAAAAAAAAAAGGTTACAAAAACATTTCTACATCACAGCAAGGAAATTAAGAAAACCACCCTAAACTGATTTGATTCTCAGTTTCAAATTCAAGATGCAATAATGAAAAGAAAACAAACTTATTAAAGTATCAATTGCGCCAATACAAGATTAAACAAAAACACTGAGCTTGTCAATCAATAATCTACATGTTGTGTAACGTATGATTGATATCACAAACAGCAATCATTTTAATACCTACCAAACCACACCACTTACCGAATGGTGGTGTGTTGACACCTACAAATCTATATACCATTTACCCACTGTCACCACCCTCAAGATGGGCGGCATTGTGCCAAAAATCCTATTAAACACAAACAATTTGGCAAAGACATAGATAAGAAAGTAAGAGAGAAGGAAGAAAGAAATGAGAACATAATGTAAGGCACATAATTCACTTAAGAGTGTATTAAATCACTGCCAATCACAGTACAAATGTTGGTACGTTTCAACTGCTCATGACTATGTCAAAGGTCAAACAATATTTTAAAATAATCCAAATTTGAGTTGGCAGCTGGTACGTCTGAATGCACAGTAGCTGCAACTTTATTAGATGGAATACTCCTCCAAGCTAAAGTATGACTTACTAAGCTAGTAGGATTGAATGCTAATATAAGCAGGTGTAAAGTTAGTGGATATGTGGTAGGTTTGTCACTATTATGGAATAATCCCAATGGAGCCAATTTCAGTATATATGTATCATGGCCATTGTTCCCATCACTAAGGTAATGTAATACTGTATAAGTAACAATGCATAGCTTGTGGATATAAGACATGATTCCAATAAAATTACTGCCCACAGGGATGAAGCATACAATGTATTGAAGTGATAATTCAAGAGTAACATTATAGGCACTAATAGTCAGTCAGTGGCAACCAGTTATTTGATTTTTAGGAGATGTGACAACCAAATACCTCTTCATGTCACTAAAAATGTAATGATAAATAAAATATGACAGTTCATGTATCGGATTAAGTGTCTATATATTACTCTTTATGGATCCTTGGGAACATTAAACTTTATTGGAGTCTAGGTACATCAATCTGAACTTGATAGTCTGAATAGAGTCTAGGTCCATAAATTTAAAGCAGGAAGTTTTGGAGCATGACAAATCTGATATGTGAATTTTCTAAGACACTGAAAGGGTCAAATTTTCGAATATTTAAAATTGGGGTTAAGGAGTGCCACACCACCAGTTTTTAAATATTCAAAAATCTGTTTCTTATCAGCCGTTCCAGATTACTTTTTTAAACACACCTCATGTCCAAAAAATGTTTTCCTCAAGAGCCAAGATTTTATACTAATAGTCTGAATGGAGTCTATATACAAAAATGCACTGGAATGAGGATTTGGGTCAGGCCCGTATCCAGGGGGGATTTTTATGGGTCGGGAGAACCCCCTTTTCTAGCAAACCCCCCTCTTTTTTGGCGAACCCCCTCTTCAAATTTCAAAAATAAGTCCTCCAACCCAACTAATGCACTGCAGACCCACCCAGACACAGACGATTTCAAACATATCTGCTTTTATAGCATTATTTAGACCCATAAAGCACAAAAATCCTCTTGCTTTGGGGGTTTCGGCGACCCCACCGGCGCTTCGACTGTGGACCTCACACCCAGAAAACCCCCATTGGAAAAACCTGGCTACGGGCCTGTGGGTATTGGTGTTCAACCTTCCTCTCGTAAGAGTGCCATGGGAATTGTAGAGTACACCAAGACATACTTTCAATACCTACCAACCTACCTACTCAAAAAAAAAATTTACAAACAAAACAATGGTTTTATTATGAATAATGTAATACATTGTAAAGGAAATATAAACATGGAGCTATTGAGTCACTATGAATAGTATTTAATATTTAAGAGCCAAAAGGGTTGTGGGAGTGGGTTGAGCAAGGCAGGGTTGCCTGTGCGCAAATTATTCTTTCATATTTTTAAATGTCTCAGCTGTCCCTGCACTTCTGAAATAGACAAAATGTTAAATATCAAGTGAATACAGACTCACTATTAAAGGACCTTATACCTTATTGATAAGGACACAGTCAAGAAGTAGTATGACCTATACCCTAGTGGATAAAAATCATACCCTCAAATACGCATTGACTGATTATCCTTATATTATTACTCCCGGATATATAGGACTGTACAAATATAACCTTTTAACAAAATACACACATTTTACTATTATGTTTATTTATCACTTTTGACTTTCTGGGAAGAGAAAAGAATGTGAACAACCCGTAGATAAACTGTGCAAAGTTATGCAATACAAAGCTATGGTTAAACAATATTAAATTCTAATAAAAGTAAATAATTGCTTAATGCTTTTAATAATAATAATAATCATCTTGACTTATAGAGTGCATTATGCTAAAGCCTCAAAGTGCTTAACAATAAAAATAAAAATGCCGGAAGCAAAAAATGTTGAACTCCATTTTTTAGCAAACTACTCTGATACAAAACATTAATTATAATGAAAATTATTATTCATATTCTAGGATTAAGATACCTACACATTCTTCTACTGGAGTCTACCAGGACACCTTAACTTTGAATATCTTATTGTAATTTGTGGTATTTTGAAGTCTTTCAAAGTTCTTAATTTAATTGTATTACAAGATTACTGTATATTTCACATTTCCTATTTTCAGAAATTTGCAGTAAATTTATATTGTATCTTGTACCTTAATTTATAAAATCACAATTATATTCCATAATTATGTGTTTACCTGATCAGGCGATTCTACTTCTGAATCGTGATTGGTCGCAACAATATCTTCAGGCGGTAATGATGATGTAGCATGTATTGCCTGGTCGACTTGGTCCTCATCATTTAGAGATTTCTCTACAAAGCAATACAATTATAAATATGAATAAATGTATATATAACATATAAATTTAAATAAACACAAGTATTAAAAATGCGCCTGCTGGGTGATTGTTATTGGAAATTCTACATACTGGTTTGGTTGCATTTCGAACATTCAGAATAACGTTCAAATCAACTTAGCTCTTTAAACAATGCATTGACTTATGTATAGTATTTAGCTTCTACACTGGTGGTAGCCATTGTGTGTGTGCTGAACCATAGAGATCTCTTGGTTTCTGGTTCAATTCCCAATTGCTGCCCCCTTGTATTGCAGCTGGAGGGCTGAAGTGCAAGTTATGATAGGGTCTTTCGGATGAGACATTACGCTGTTGGTCCTGTGTGCATTATGCACGTTAAGAACGCAGTACACTCTTTGGAAAATAGTAGGATTCTACCTGAGTACCACCAGAAAAACCCAACTGGAAATAAGTCTTAATAAGACTCATGGGGTTATCCTTGGCATTTACACCAAATAAATCCATTTATCATCTATTCATAAAAAAAAAAACTGTGTCACCCACGCTAATGGAGCTAATAATTTGGGACCCTGACATACAGAAAAATATACATGATAATAAATAACATAATACACTGAAAAATGAACAGACAAGTAGGTATGTAGAGCAGTTGGTGTCTGCATAGTTGCATGTAGATATAGTGTTATTATACATGAACACGATATCAACAAAAGGCTATGTAAATAGGTAGTTTCCAACAGCTTTACTAAGTATACTGCAGACGCCTATAGGTGAACAAACGGAAGAAATTCAATAAGGCAACAATGCACAATGTTGATCAACTGTAAGTTAATCCTATGTTGATCATATCACAGACCCTTGTATATAGGATCTGTGATAACAAAGCCCATCTACGCCATTAACAGTGGCGGATATCCATCCCAGAATTTGAAATGGCGGGGCCCAGGGACAGACTTTGACAGATGGAGGGTCTATACTACCTCAAGAAAATTCATGATTATGTCACCAGAAGTGGCACTCTCAGATTTAAATTTAATTTTCTTTAATTTTTTCTGATTAAGTAGAAACAGAGATTCATTTAAAACACCAGTAGAACACCACTTTTAGAGATTCACATTTGTGATGCTAAGAACAATCTTACACTTTTTAATTGCTTAGTTTGTATGGTAATATTAACTGTCAATTGAAAATTAATAATATATAATATTTTACTAGCCAATCAATTGCATTATTTTTGCATAGAAGACCCTTAAATTAGCTGGTATTAGCTGGTATTAAAAACTTGTATAGTTCCAAACTTTGTAAATCGGTCAAAACAATTTAATTTGATCTATGTTTTAATTGTAAGTTAATTATTTGATAATTTTCAATGAACTATTCAAATTCCAATATTACTTTAAAGGTACACTGGGGTAAAAATAAAATCCTAATATAGTAAAAACAAGTAACATGGCAAAATTGAAGAACAGAGATGATGAATTTAAATCGAAAGGGGCATTCAAAACAAGCAAAGATTTTTCCCATGAAGCCCCATACAAAAAACTTCTGAAGAAATAGAATGCGAAAGAATTCAGTTTTCTCCGAATTACAAAATCCTTATTACAATGATTTCCAGCCAATTATTGTAAGCAAAGAATACATGTTATATTCATATATCCATTGGCGAGAAAAAATATTTTCACATAATATTCATTAACAGAAATGAAAGCTCATAAACAAGCAGAGGCATTCAGATATAAAATTTTATTTTTAGCTCTATACAGAGTTTACCAATAAAAATTATGGAAGTCCTTTAGGTAATAAAATAATATGGTGTATCTCAAAAAATAGTCCCTATAGAGTTCACTGGTGGCCATGTGACGGAGTATGGCACATTCTATTGGTCAGTAGGCATTCACGGTTCATATAAACATCTCTCCTGGACTGGTTCACAGCCCAAAGGAAGTACGGGTCAGCTTACATTTAAAACCTTACCGCTGGGTGACGATAGCGTCCCTGGCTCATCATTCATATACAAAATTTCTATTGTTTAGCATATTTTATTTTGATGTCCTTTTAAAGTTACTTTTAAATCACTTTTCTTAGATAGTGTCTGGAGAGTTGACTCCATAGTTTTTAGCTTGTTGGTAATCAATATGTTTTATTATCCACAAATGTTGAGTCGAGATTATGGAGCTGAATTGCTTGGTGGTTGAGATGCTTGCCTTCCAATCCCAGGGTCCAAACATTTTCACAACAGATTTCTTTTTCTTAAAAAAAAAGTAGTTACTCGTCCTAATATTTTGGGGAAAAAAAAGAATGAGGGCACATTCTTTTTTACTCTGAGATGGCAAATCCAAGACGATGGATGGGAAACAACTACTAATTTCTCACTTTTACAAAGTAGACACACTGAAAGCAAATAAAAGAAACACAAGACATGATTCATATCATGTATCCCCAACCAAGATCAATCAAGAAAGGGATTTTACTAATGTGAGGCAGAGAAAATGGATGTGTGAGAAGACAAGAAAATAGTATTGTTTTTTATTTATCCTAATATAAACTTTACTCCCTGAGCCACATAAAGATAATTTTCTTAAATTATAAAGAATTGTTCCATCCTGTGATTGGCGAGTTACTTGCTATTGTATGTGAACAAAATATTTGAATTGAATACAGTAACATCTCCTCACCTCTGTTTTTCTTTCTTAATTCTCTCATTGCTCCTCTAATTTGCCGTTTCTTCTCTATGTTGTCCGTTTCTCTCAACTATTCATAAAGAATACCACAAAAAATTGTAAAAATACAAAGATATCGATCATTCATTCCTTCATATTAGCCTCAATATTAGTTTATCACTCTTATGCACATTTCTTCCAAAATATTGAAAAACAATTTTTTTGGAAAAGTTACTTTATATTTTTTTTTTGGATTATTATTGTTTTCATTTGTTTTAGTAAACAGTTCGTAGATATTGTTTGTATTATCTCAATTATATATTTTACTTTGAATATTAATGCACCAGCAAACAACTCAAGGGTGATATTTGGCTTTAGCAAAATATAAAATAAAAATAAAAAGCCTCCCTCCCTCATCACTTTTCCAGCCTAGATAGGCTGATAACAATTTTTTTTTGTAAGGCCTTAGTTTTAAAGTGATGTCACTGTATATGTTAACAGTAATGTCTTTTGTAAATGTCTTTATGTCTGCTGGACCTTTTTATGAACATTAAAAATATGACTCAGCAACCATCTGGTAACATTAATTATTATTGATTACAGGAATTAAGTGCAACATCATTTCACTGTCTTTGTCCTAAAAAATCAATTACCTTCTCTGGTGGAATAGGCATCACATCAAATTAATCATGGTGATTATGGATGTTGTAACTGAATGCAAGAGTTTGATTTTACAGGAAGTAAATGCTGCCTTGTCAATAGAATCAAATTAATGAGTGTGGACACAGTCCAATAAAATGTTTAATAAACCATTTGGTGCAAGTATTTGAGTATTAAATAAAAAGCCATTTGAAGGTTACTTTTTTATGCAATGTTTGGAAAGAATTAACTATCGTTATGGTACTGAATGTACATCTATGGCTGGAAATGTCATTCTCAGACTTCAATTTAAATTGGATTTTTCTTGGGAAAGGGGTGGAAGAAGATTATAGGGTTGGGAGGAAGGGTAGTACATGAATACTATGGTGGTACATGATTACTATGGTGCAATATTTTTCTTTGAATGGGAGACAATTTACTGACTCTATTGCAGAAGAAAACAAACTATATCCGGGAGAATTTTTTTCTAAAAAAAAAATCTCATGGAATGGGGCAGTCCTCAATTCATGCCACTGAACTACAAATCCAAAGGTAAAAGACCGAGGGCCATGGACCATGTAACCTCCCACTTAATTATTCGCCTACATACTGCCTTCAAGCCACCTAGTGACATGGGTCATAGGAATGATCTGAACATAATAGTTTGTTAGCCTGATTAAAGGTTTGGAACCTCACAAATCATTTACATTGTTGGCACACAAATTGATCTAAAGTTTACTTTAGCCATTAATCACAGTTTTACTGTTTTACTAGATATAGCATCAATGTGTAATCTTTAAACACATCCAGATTCATTCATAAATTTTACAGTAATTTTATTGCATTTGTTTTAATTCAAAATAAATATATATTTTATTTAATAACTTTATAAGGGTAACTCATCAAAGGTTATGCTAAATATTTTCTATATTGGCATTGGAGACACCAACGTCAGAAAATAACTAAACCTCAAAAAATAATAAAAACTAGACTGAATTATTATTATTATTAAATTAAAAATGCCTATTGTTAATTATTGTATTTTATTTTAAGTAGGCCTACAATTTTCATAAGAATTATTTATTCTAGAGGTAAGTTTTTCTAGAATTATGGAAAAAACAGGTGGAAAATGTTACACAAAAAGAGGAATGTATTCCCTAAAGATACTGTTAACCTACAGCAAAATGAAAAGTGAATTCAACCTATTACTACAATTATTCAATTCAGAATTATAGTTCACGCGGCGCTATACGATTTTTAGTTACAACATAGCTTACACTGACGTCAGGCTGCTAAATGGGTAAATTGTAATGGCCTATAACTTCATAAAAAATAGCCAGAAAAATTGTTAAAGTTAATTCTATTACTAATGACTATCAAAATCCCCTCTAGAAAAAAATATCCTCTTTCTAGTGAAATTCTGTTTCAGTGGAGATAAAATCCATTACTGTACCATACTTTCTGTAGCATTTAGAACCCAGAATCTTATGACAGACGAAAGGTCCTTTACAAGCAAGTTTCTGCTATACTCATCGATTAAATGTATCATACATTGCAAAATTAATATTTACACATGATGTTACACCAGACATCCTATCAAGGTTATGCGACTGGCTCTGTTCATTATATCACAAGTAATTTAGAAATACTCTCAACCCAGGAAAAGGCTTGCTATGGTACCTATATAAAATATCAAATTTCAAAATAATTCAATCACATTCCAGAAATGAGCACATCCAGCTTGCAGCGATTACAATTCATTAAAAAAAATTCTACTGAGAACTAACTTATTTTACTGGTTGATTGCACTTTATTAAAACAAATATTTGATTACTTAAAATCAACTTGGACAGATTTAAGTTTATAGATTGCACTTGCAGGTAAATTAAAGATACTTTCTTTGCAATTACAAAAATATGTAAATAGTAATTTACCTTCATCCTTAAGATATCTTCATCCTGTATGGCAAAAACGTCTTCAGAAATTTCATTCTTTTCATTGTTTAATTCAAATAATTTCTGTTCCCTTTCTTTGTTCATCTCACACAATTTATCTTTGCCTGGTTTAGCCAGCTCTATCAGATTCTCTGTGTTATCCTCTGTTTCCACCTGGAGGACAGTATCAACACTTCCCACTATGGGCAATGTGTTAAGCACCTGTGTATCATCGCCTCTATCTGGTAACAAATGCATATTTTCTTTCCAAGTATGTCCAGATGGTACCAATACATTACTGTCATATGCAACTTGATTTTCCTCACTGGTTGTTTGGACTGAAATCTCATTATCCAATGTTCTACATAAACTTTCCGCTGACCAATTGATCTCTGCTTCTATTTTATGTCCAGCAGGGTCACCATTAATGATTTCATTGATTGGCTGTTGTTCAATATAACCCAAGTTTTTCACCCCTTGCATATCATTTGCTGGAACCTTTTGATCCGGTGGTTCCTTAGCTTTCACACCCACTCTTATACACTTGTCACTATCCTTCCTTACTACTTCATCACTCACTATCATACTGTCTTTGCATGTCACTCCTCCTTCAGAGTCTGTACCAATATTTTGTTCTTGCTGCTCCTCTGACTTGCTAACCCCATTTTTTAATTGACATGCATCAATCATATCGGTGTCAATCACTATATTCTTGGTACTGGATTCATCAATATGTATATTAGCCTGGTCATCAGAATGGCTTGTAGGATGATTTTTAATGACTGTGTTTGCCAAGTTTAACCCATTTTCTACAAGGTCATGTTGTTGTTGCCGAGAGGCTCTCCGAGTAGGCCTGTATGCTTCTATTTCAGCTGCAAGGAATAAAAATATACAAGCATCATAAATGATGAGAATGAAAGGTATCAAAATTGACTGATAATTCCAACAAAATGATTTCATTTTAATTTCATTTAATTATTTCTTGGTAAAGATGATGATGATGTTGATGATGTTAATTATGAGAATAATTAAGATTACGATGATGGTAATGATGACGATGATGAAGATAATGATGACGATGATGATCAGGAAGATGCTATGATGATGATGATGATGCCACTGCTGATGGTGATATTGACATCAATAATAGTGATTATGAATGGACAGTAAGGATCAATACTGTCCAATACTGCACCTTCTCAACTAGAATAGACAAAATTGAGTATCAACAAATTCATTTTCAAAATGTAAAAATATAAATAGGAATATAAAAAAATCTCAAAATGATTTTTCAAATTAAATTGCTACTATAATAGAATCAAATAAAAGTTCTTATAGTAATTACAAAAATCTTTAAATTGAGTATCAGCCAAATTTAAGGGTCTATGAAAATAGAATCTACCAAAGGATCTACAGAAACAGCGTTTAAATTGGTGAGAAATATATTCCTAATAATATAGGCCATAAAAACCGAAAGGTCCACTGATTAATCTCAGATAAGAAAGTATAATACATACTCTAAGTATTGAAATACACGCCATCGTGTTGGGATTCAATATTTCGACAATAATTATGTCATCATCAGCAATAGGCCATAAAGTAAAGCAATTCTAATAGGCCTATATAATGTTTGTTCAAATTTATTAGCTCAACTCTAACTGCACCTGCAGGCTAAAACTTACAACATTCTTCCAATCAAAATAACGCAATACCAATACAGAAATTCAACTAAATTTTTATGTTATTTAAAATGCTATTTGGCAATTAAGTAAAGAAGGAATGCAATTTTAAGGGCTAAACTGGGATAGTAAAAAATATTGCAGCTGATTCCAACATGATTGATTGACATTTCAAAAAATCAAAACACTTGGCACTTGACAATCAATTTTAAAGTTTCAATGCTGGAATTTTCAGGAATTCTCTTCAAAATAATTGGTAGCCAGAAGGATAAAACTCTCGAGTGATGTGACAATAGTCTTGAATTGCCAATTAACCAAGGATGTACATAAGTAAACAATCAATAGTATCAAAGGTATATATCTACCTTCATGAAACTGATTTTCTATTTATAAAGCTACTTTAAACTTGTTGAATGGTAAGACGGAAAATATAAAGACACCAATTTATTGGAGCAATTGTGAATGTAGATGTTTTTGTTTCATTTTCAAAAACTTCAGGACTGTTATAACAACTACACTAGTTCAAGAGCTCTCAGAAAGGATAAAGAATTTCTAAAGAAAAAAAGAACAGATTGTTTCCTTAACTATTGCCAAATTTATTCTAACGAAAGTGTTTGTTTAATTTAGCCTACAGGCTTTGTTGCTTCAAGATGCTTTCTTGTTCAAAAAACAAATTTGTTTTCTATCTTTATCTAAAGCGATTGAGGGATTCGGCAATGGGCGTCACATGACCTAACTTGGGGATTGGATATAAACAATCGACTGGCACAGCGGTGTTTTACATGGGGATTGCCATGGCGGTCGTCCTTTGTTTTTGCTGTAAGATCATCATAATTTCCAGTAAACTATACTAAATTGATTGGAAATTAAATTTTGCCTTAATGGTTTGCTAATGCTGTAAAGGATAATTCGACAAAATGTTAGGCCAGGACCCCTGCACATCTACTCCATAGTTAGGTATGCATGATGGCCTTCCACCCGCGAACTACGCTGCGATGTTAGGGCTAGCTAATGTTTATGAATTATCACTTAAATTTCAAAGCATAGAATCCTAGGAGAAGTATATAAACACTATTTTGAATAATCATATTGCTTTCCTAGCCATTTATTTCTAACATTAACAGTGGGTGGTTGTTTTCGCAACCACAACATTATCTTTTCCTATGCTATCGCACTGGAATGTTTTTCATGTTAACCAAATTATGTCGCATGACCACCTGTAAAGAAGCATCACCAAATCCCTCTATTAAATTGCTGTATTCCTTGTGCCTTTCGAGACATTTGAAAATATCAATATTCCCAAGGGTACAAACAATAATATGATGGGAGGGAAGGAGAGGGGAGTGGTAAGGGAGTGGATAATAGATGGATCAGTTGTATACTGGCCATACTTTGCCCCTTTGAAAAAAATACAGTAATTTTATTATTTAATGTTGATTACAAACCATCTTTTGCTCTTCTTAGTTCTCTCACAGCTGTTCGTATTCTTTTCCTTTCATAGTAATCATCAGTTTCTTTGAGCTAAAAAACAAGGGGAAAAAATACAGTGTGTAACATATCTTAAATAATGACCAATTACAGTATTTATTGTTTAAACTTAATTAAAAATTACTGATTGAAAGCCAAATACTCCAGGCTGAGACTGATTCAAAGCATATTTGTCTAGCATGAACCTGTGAAAAATAAATAAAAAAATAATAGGTGGATGCAGGATGTACAAATCGAGAAAGTATGGTCTGAAAGTTTTAGCCATCTTAATTTCTTTAAACCCCCCTCTAAACTTTCGCCAACTATGCATGAGGAATGCAGTGGCGACACCAGTGGGGAGCTCTTTGCCAACCCTATTAGGGAATTTTTTTTATTCTGGAACTCGGACCGAGGCTCTAGTCGGCTCCTGGATTCTAACCCTCCTGTCAGACATGTCAAATCGGCAGATTTCTGGAGCCACCGCTGGACGGATGCACTAATGCAACAGCACTTTCCTTTGAATTGATAGCAATATAGCTCATTGAAAATTAAAACAATTATACACATACTGTACCAACTGGAATCACTCCTTTTATGGTTAACAGTAAAAAAGCCTAGCCTCATAACTTCCTCTCTATGCTTTCATCATGTAATAGATCACCTTACATTTGTGAGTTACGTGCCGTGAACCCTAATTCTGAGCCTCGCATGGCAAACAGTGAAATAATGCTGGCTCCTCTGTTTTTATAGTCCATTTGGTGTTTTCATGTAAATTATTTTAATATCCTTTGCATTTGTTTTATATCTTTAGGGAAGTTACCATAATACTTTGAAATGGAGAATGCTATAAAAGTTCATGGAAGTAAAAAAAATCAATCAACCCCTGGATATAATAGCTCCATAAACTGGCTTACTGTTTCTTGTGTTCTAAACTACTTTTCTGATGTGAAATGCAAGGCTATTCCATTTCCAAATAGAGATGAAACTGAAAAAATACTGGCCTTGATTGCTAGAATAGTTTTGTTTATTTGTGACTTGTTATCCTTTTGTCCTATCTATGTTCAAATCTAATTCTATTTAATTTGAATTCTTGACTACATTTTTTTGTTTGACTGATGTTTCTTTTTTCTTATGTTTATTGTGAAATACAATGAAATGTTTAATCTGTAAAATTTGTAATTTTCTATTATAATTTATATATATTTAATTGTTTTATTTAATTATTTTAAGGGGTAGCTGGCTCATCTGATTCTGAGTTATACTAATGTAGGCCTATTTTGCTTAAAGTTACCCCAGTCTAGCATTTCAATGTTGGTCAAATAAATAAATGAAATATCGATGTGAGCCCATAGTGTGCTGGGTGAAATACTGTAATCTTGTATTACATTTATGAGGTACTGTTCTGTAATGAGGTACTCTGACATGTACAAACAAATTTTAAGTATAATATTTGCCATTGAAACAATAAGTAATAGTGTAACAGTACTAGGCCTGTATACAGATTTGGTGTAATATATGTTCATGCCTTGCTGCCTTTAAGTTTTGTTTACTTTTTGCTGAACTTCGTCTTGGGAGACCATGATGTTACAATGAATAATTTTTGTTTGTGGTTTGTTGATTAATGTAAATATTATCTAATTAACAGAGTAAATTTTTTGCAATTTGAGTTTACATGTACTTTAATGCACAGTGTGCTATTATCAAACTTCACACCAAAGTTAAAGGCTGAATGAGAGGTTAATTATTAATATATTTTTATCCCCAATTGTTTTACCAATTCCTTAGCAAAAAACTTCCTGATTGGACAACAACGAGGAACTAATTTATGTCAATTGGATATCCAATTCAAGCAACTTTTACTTCATATGTCTGCAGCGATCGTACACCCGTGTCCTCCTTTTAATTGACATCCTCAACAAACATGCCATTACCCTGGTCATAATAATCATACTACACTCACAGAAGCTTATAGCATGTAATAATTCATAAAAGAAAATTATTTTAAAGATGTATTATGAAAAAAAATAAATACATAAATAAACTATAAAAAATCTTTTGGAAATTATTAGCATAGTAATTATTGAATTTTAAAAAATGTGTACCCTAAATTTTATGCTGGAAAATGATAATACAATAAATGATAATACAATAAATGATAATACAATAAATTTTTCATGGGACAATACATTTTTAAAGGGTTGGCAGAAGACATCAAACATGACATTTCAGAAGGATTGTAGACTATAGGCATATATTTATCACTTTGTTACAGTAAAAAACAGGGACAAGTTGTCTATTTATGGTAATGAGCTAAAACGAAGTCAAAATTCTTGGTAGTATAACACGGAAGTCACCAAGAAAGCAATAAAGGTTGCCAAACACTAACTAGCTACCAGTAATTTTTACAAAAAATATGTGCCATCAGTGTTATTACCAAGTAACTGCTTTTAGGTTGTGTCTTAGCCTTGTCCTTAAATAGGTCGTTATTGTGGATTATTGGTATGCTTGTACTTTACTTTATGCTGTACAAAACAATCAAGCCAAATACTGTATCCATAGTAATGGTGTATAAACATGCCATATACAATGTATTTCTTGTTTCACATCCCCACCCCTTTCTCTTCTTTNNNTCTTTTTATTGAATGTTCAGTATACACTTCTTTAGATGTGTATAAGAGACAGGGCTGAATGAGAGGTTAATTATTAATATATTTTTATCCCCAATTGTTTTACCAATTCCTTAGCAAAAAACTTCCTGATTGGACAACGAGGAACTAATTTATGTCAATTGGATATCCAATTCAAGCAACTTTTACTTCATATGTCTGCAGCGATCGTACACCCGTGTCCTCCTTTTAATTGACATCCTCAACAAACATGCCATTACCCTGGTCATAATAATCATACTACACTCACAGAAGCTTATAGCATGTAATAATTCATAAAAGAAAATTATTTTAAAGATGTATTATGAAAAAAAATAAATACATAAATAAACTATAAAAAATCTTTTGGAAATTATTAGCATAGTAATTATTGAATTTTAAAAAATGTGTACCCTAAATTTTATGCTGGAAAATGATAATACAATAAATGATAATACAATAAATGATAATACAATAAATTTTTCATGGGACAATACATTTTTAAAGGGTTGGCAGAAGACATCAAACATGACATTTCAAAAGGATTGTAGACTATAGGCATATATTTATCGCTTTGTTACAGTAAAAAACAGGGACAAGTTGTCTATTTATGGTAATGAGCTAAAACGAAGTCAAAATTCTTGGTAGTATAACACGGAAGTCACCAAGAAAGCAATAAAGGTTGCCAAACACTAACTAGCTACCAGTAATTTTTACAAAAAATATGTGCCATCAGTGTTATTACCAAGTAACTGCTTTTAGGTTGTGTCTTAGCCTTGTCCTTAAATAGGTCGTTATTGTGGATTATTGGTATGCTTGTACTTTACTTTATGCTGTACAAAACAATCAAGCCAAATACTGTATCCATAGTAATGGTGTATAAACATGCCATATACAATGTATTTCTTGTTTCACATCCCCACCCTCATCAAAGTTTGGAGTCTCATGAAAAAATGTACTATTTGTCAAAAAAAGAGGAAAATAAAATTAATTAATATGATACAACAGATCGTTGACACATCCTAAGAGATGGAAACATAAATGGCAAAATACATTACAAAATCATTTTATTTTTGTTTATAATATAAAAAAAACAATTTCTATTATATATATCAGTCTGTTTTCACTACTACTATATAGGATAGTAAATAACAAATAGTATATACCCTCACCAAAAAAAAAAAAATTTTTAAATAAAATCCAGGACATGAAAATAACAATTAATTTTCAATTGGCCTTTAAACATGACCACATGTTTGGTTTTTTATTTTTATTTTGCATAAACCATAAATTAATAAATGTTTAGTTTGTGATTTTAAAACAGTGACTTTTTTACAAGCACAGGTTTTTACTTATAACAATGCGAGTTCATATATACATTTTGGGTCATGATCATCAACATTTTAGGTATAGATTGATTTTTAAAAATGACAGACAAAAATTATTGGTGTATTATTAATAATTATACAATTCCACAATAAATCAATTGAAATATAGCTTGTTGAAATGATATTTTGCCCTCTCACCTTAGCCACACATCACACAATTGACCAAAATACATGTCAAAAGTAGGATACTGTTCACCACCTGAAGTCTCAAGGGCAAACAAAGAGCAATCAAAGCCCACATTCTGTTGGTATCAGAGGATGCTTGATCATGTTCCAGTAAATGTAAATGTATACAGAACTAACACATCGAGTACACTGTGCAAACAATACAGCATTTAGTCAGGACATGATTAGATGTCAAGTGCCTATAGCAAAAGTTTCATGATTTCCAAGATTCAGGACACAGTGCTTTTGAAATTTACACAAAGGCTCATATGTAGTAAGTTCAGTGCATAGGACATATAGCTGTATGACATGTATTCAATACCTCATAATATAAAGCAGCTATAGACTTAAACACACAAAACGTTCCATGAATCAATATTCATATTAATAAAAATTAATTATAAAATTAAGATGTAGGCCTATAATGTTTACATTTTTAAAAGTTTGTAAAGTATTTCTTGTCTCGGATTCAAAATGCTAACGATGTTAAAAATGATGATAGTATACAGAGGTCGTCGGGCTTGTTGTCAAGGAGGACAAAAGACAGCAAAATGATAATGGTGATGGATGATGCGGTTTTGATAACTGATGGCGAGTGCTGATATTAGGAGTCAATGGTAATATAATACAGTAATGATTTTGAGGTACCATATATTCTCGCATATAAAGACGATTCTTAAAATAGCAAATTACAATCGAAAAACATGGTCTTCTTAAACACATACAAAGTTTGGATTTATTGAATCATGTTCTTCTTATGTGCAGATCATCGCAAATTTACTACTGTCAAATGAAGAAACTGTTAGTATGAATGAAAGCAATTGTAAATGCAGAGAAATAAGTCCTACATTTGGCT